CTTAACGTGTCTCTACATACGGAAAAAACCCTGGGTTCAAATCCCGTTTGGGTTTTTTTGTCTCAAACAATTTACTAAGAAAGTACCAGGAATTTGGATTGAAAGCTCAAACTTAACGGTGAGAGAAGGAGAACAGTGTGTATATAATTCTTCAGACATCCATACAAGTTTCGGAGACAGAATTACAGCGACAAGAAACAGTTGCCTAAAGTTTAAGTACACAACATAATTTGTTTGATTATTCATCGATAATTTGTCGTTTGTCATTACCTGTCTTTCGCTGAGCTGCAGTAGTTTTGCTAACTTTTTCCGTTCTGGTGGAGACAAATACTTTTGGTTTTCAAATTTCTTCTCCAATTCCATAGTCTGGTCGTTTGAGAATCTGACCTGACCACCCTTCCTCTTGTGCAGGGGTCTCTGTATGAACGGATTCCATAAGAAGGGTTTCCCTGGTACTGTTAAGTAAAATGAAAGATGATACAGTGATGCAATTACTGTAATAGCAACTGCAGCAGCACTGGAGCAACAACAGCAACAGCAATAATAACAACAACAGTAACAATAACAATAATAATAATAATAATAATAATAATAATAATAATAATAATAGTAATAATAATAATAATAATAATAATAATAATGTTTTATACTAAAAATCACAATAATAATCATAATTCAATCGGCCTGGCGTTAAAACCGGTACTATTACTATTGATACATATGTGCCCACAACGCTAGTCCTCAACATTAAAAAAAATACATTGTATCATTACCAATAAATACAAAAACATGGCAATATTATTATAATTATAACATATTTTGTAATTGAAACATATTTAAATCGAAAGTATTGTTGTAGTGTGTTCGATGTGTTTCAATCTAGTAATAAAGGTAATATTTACTATTATATCGGTCATTTAATCAAAGATGAAAGCGATTTAACCCATTCAATTTTTACTTGATTATAGTCAAAAGCATTTCAGAAGCCTTGTTACGTTTTTTAAAATATATTTTCACTTTCTGATATTTTTGTAGCTTGACGGTTCAAACCCTAAAATAACGGAATCATTGAAATTGAATAAAATGAATGTAATATTTACTATTATATCGATAATTAAATCAAAGATGAAAGCGATTTAACCCATTCAATTTTTACTTGATTATAGTCAAAAGCATTTCAGAAGCCTTGTTACGTTTTTAAAGAATTAATTTTCACTTTCTGGTATTTTTGTAGCTTGACGGCTCAAAACCTAAAATAATGGAACCACTGAAATTGAATATAATGAAGGTAATATTTACTATTATATCGGTAATTAAATCAAAGATGAAAGCGATTTCATCATTTGATTTTTAGGCTTTTTTTAATTGAATTTCATTTTCTGGTATTTTTGTAGCCTAACGGTTCATAACCTAAAGTAGGCCTAAGTTGCGGAACCATTGGAATTGTAAACAATTCCTCTATGTATATTTGAGGAGGTAATAAAGGTAATACATAATGGGATATGATATGTATATCATTTAATAGGATAATAGATTCATCTCTGTGGATTTGGCTGGGCATTTAAAAGTACTTGAGTGCTTTAGTAAAGAAAAAAAAAGTAGTTTCTTAACTCCATGATCAAACTCCATAATAGATTACCATAGGCTTAATTGTTTCAGCGAAGTCTATCGTGGTTCCGTGCGTGGCAATCGTGCAAGTTCACAAAACAGTTTACCTGGCCACAAGGTATGTGTTAGGACTATAATATCTGAGTGGTAAAAATCCAGAGCACACTAAGTGTAGTCTAAATAGCCTACATATTTTATACTGACACGAATACAATACAACCAACAAAAGAAAGTTTGCAATATGAGACATGTCAATCTGTCTGTAACGAATCCAAAACAAATAAGGCCTAAGTATGGCTAATTTTGTCATCCCACTGCAGTACACATTATAATAAACTGTATTTATCCCCACATGTTCTGTCGATTGGACACACTTCCACTGTGTTGTGTTGTATTGTTGGGTGGTGAGCTTTCCATAGAGGTTTCTCTCTTATATTAACCACACTTGGACCATCGTTTAACCGTGACAACATACACTGAATAAAACGATTTTTTCGTTGAAGGAATATATGCTTGATACGATTATAACATCGTGTTCCTACTTAAGCATTGTTATTATTATTTATCCATTTGTTACATTGTGTTATATACAGTGCTAAGCAGCATACCTAATTTGAATATTATTATTATTATTATATATATATATATATATATATATATATATATAATTTTAATAGCCTGTATATACTGTATATAATCCTATAGGCCTATATATTTAAATCATTAGTTTTGCACTTGTAAATAGTCCATAAATGGTAGAAACAGTACGGTACTGTTGTACTCTTTTATAATTGTATCTGTTTGTCATTATTATCGAAATAAATGTTATCTGAATCTGAATCTTTATTTGAGCGTTGTAGGCCCTACCTATCATGATTAATTTGTTTACATATGAGTAGTTTTGCACTTGTGATAGTCTATAGATTATAGAAACATTACCGTACTCTTGTTCCCTTATTTGAGCACTGTATTGTATCTTAATATTATGCTTAAATGCAACAATATATTGTTGCTTCTAGGTACATTTTTATTGTACTGTTTTAAGTAAATATTTGATAGTCCTTGAAAATAGGCCTCTTTTTTTAATAAATCAATAAAATACTAGTGAATCTACGTGATATACACGAATATACTTAACGGTTCCTAAATGCATCATGTTGAAATTTAACAGATGGTGATATGCTACTGCTGGTAGTCGTAAGTTAAGTTTGTGGTTTAGGGTCTAAGATACCTATTCTTTGCTATGGCTTTGGATATTTTGCACTTTTCCTGGTGATGGTATTAAACTAAAGATGACACCGCAATTCACTGAACTTCCAAAGTGCCAGAACGGGTTCATTGTACAGTTGCTAATCTTATGGTAACTCTTTCCCATACTGATAGCTTTTACCGACATCCTGGGCCTGGAGAAAAGACAACCATCGACCAAGAGGTGTGGAAATGTTTCCTGTCAAGGGAGAAGAACGGAAACACTAGGGCGCAGCTGGTGAAGTTGCTTAGCTTGTTGCAAGCCAAATGGACCTAGCTGATAAGATGCATCAACTAACTAAGACAGGAAACTATAAAACACGTCTTAATCCACAAGATTACAGACACAATACATTAAATAAGCTTATTCAATAACCAATATGGACATGAATAGCTGGAATAGGGAAATCATATGCATTATGTGAGTTATATTTATTTTGTTAGAGAACGTTTACCAATGAAGATTAAACATTATTTATGAGATTCTGAGTCAATGAACGAGGCACCTATATTGTTGCTATCATCTGCGGTAGCTGCAAAGTTTGTCAAGGCAGGCGATCGTATAAGTTGAATCTCTGGTCATAGCGCAAATGGGATTGCTAGATATCCTCACGACATCCTGAATAAGATAGCTATTGTTGTCTTGTTGAAATCAATATAGTTTGTATATAAGTCATTAAGGTACCCCACTTAACCACTCAATGATTATTTGATTCATATTGTATCGAGTTTAATCGCTTACTATTAGTTCGCTCAATGAATCGTGTGATGATTAAGTACAAAGTGAAACGTAATCTAGCTCCTAACCAGATTGGTCTATTGAAAATTAAACGAAAACTTTCTTTGCACTTTTCCCGCCACTTTTCTTGCATGATAATATTCTCTACTATTTATATTCCAATACAATGCAAATACCCTGTTTGTAGAGTTGTCGCGATACAGATCATCGCTACCAACACATCATTGTAATTAGCATTAGTATTCCTCTCTTCTTTCGCATCATCTTAACAACATAGTTTGTTTTCTTAAATTTTGTAAAATCGATATTTTTTTAATGAGCCAAATCGTTTATTATTGTTTGATCCTATATTATTATCCTCTTAACAATGTAAATACTGTGTACAAGTTTATGTGCCTACAACTGAGATAATGAAAACACGGTTTGTCAAAAAGTTGCAACGAAATTCCTGAACTCTCAATGGAAATAATGATATAAGTACTGTGTCATTTCTCCTTTGTTTAACTTTGTAGGCTTGTTTTAAATAATTATAAGGAAGCCACCATAGAATATTTTAATGAGAGGAAGCACAGTCCTTGTGCGGTTCGTTGTCACAAAGGATTCGCAACAACAAAAACTAGGGGCCTACTATAAAAGCCGGTTTCACTTAAACATAGTTTTATAGTGAAAAATCTATGTAGTATATATATATATATTATATATATATATATATATATATATATATATGTATGTATGTATATATATATATAGGTTAATTCAAATAGCGGTGAAAAATAATGAATATACAGATTACTGGATAGTTAAACAAATACGAACGATAAAGAAGACAATAATAAGTCTGGAGTAATGAATAATAAAATTAATAATGAAATAATAATATTTAAATAGTTATTTTACATAGCTTTAAACTTAAAACAACAAATTTACAGACAAATAAAATAGGTCTACCATTTTAGCTGGTGTAAAAAGTCTGTAAAAAAAGAAAAAGAAAATATTTTCCTCATTGTAAGTTTATAACTTATTTGGATTATTTTTAATGAAATGTTTTAATTAACTTTTGAGAAGTTTTTAAGACTTTGTCATAGTGTATATTAAACTTAACGAATGAACTTAAGTTATGTTCACTGAAATGGATGATATCATTTTGCGCCCAGATGACTCATTGGTTCTTTGACAATAGGGCCAACATTGCCAAACAATGCCATCTTATAAAGTCATAATCGGCCAGTATATTATTTTTTTCTTTTCTAAAAAAATAAGCAAAATATGCAAGAAACAATAAAACAAGTATTACCGTATACACGGAAGTAGTTAAATAATTTTAACTTATTTCATTTATTCGATTGGCAGGTTCACTCGTTATTAAATTCAGATTAAGAAATATCTGAAGAGAATGCGATTTATATTATAATGTTATGCAGTTTTAAAACAACTATATTGACATGATTACTTTTATAGATATACAAATTTAAGTATTCATACGTAATATGCATCCTCATTAATTATTTTGTGGAGGAAATTTTCTCAGCAAATATGTCAAAATTAAGTACTATATAAGTAGATTTTGTTGTAGTGCACTAGCAATAAAATTATGATTGATTGTTTATGTAGTCCTACCTTTTCGGATGTTGATTCCATTCAAAAGGGATATTGCATTTAACATCAACAATTGAATAATCCTTCTTTAAACAATGGAGTTTTATTGTAAACAAACGGATTGTTGAGATATGTATAGCAATGCTCTAAAATCTCTACAACTCACAATAGAGCATTCAGGCAAATATGCAAATTTAAAAATTAGGCCTACTAGTGTTTTATAGCTTATTAATATAATATTAGGACTACATAAAGTAACGATTTGGTAAAGAAATTACCCCCGAAGGTATAACATTCAATTTGACATTTATTAATCTACAAAGTAACAGTAGAAGGAAAGAAACAGCCATGGTTTTTGGGCAGCCTCTGTAAATAATTACAAAAAAATAAACATTATTAATATTAATAACAAGAGAAATTAAAAGTTCAGAGACGTGTTGATATTTATAACACATTATGTTGAAAGCGGCAATCGTTGAAACGATAGTGAAACTTGTCACACGACTTGGCCTAGTGTGAACATTTATAGGGCCTACTCAGACTCTCGTAAGATCAAGTGATGTTTGTTTTTTGTTTTAACCAAATGAGGAAATACGAAGTTAAACGTTGTTGTCCAATACGGGTTGTTACGGATGATAGCGGCGTATAGTGACACCGTGGAGGAATTAGTTACTGTTAAAAACAATGATCCACAAAATTTACCCACGCAGCTTTGGAGAACGTGGTACAGTGTATTTTCATTAACCAAATATATAATAATCTTTTCATTATCGTTAGCTGTTATCATTTTACTCGTATAATTTCGTTATGAACCTGCAAAAATGTATTATCACCCCTCAGTGTGATAGTAAGACAACTTAGTGGCAAACTTTATCAAAAGATGCAATTATAGAAAAAATAATATAAATAATTATTAAGCTAAAACAGCTACTGCTTACCTTTATTATATGGATCATGAATATCCCGGATTGATTGAGGGTGGTAATCTGTTCGATGATATGGGTACAGGGGGCTTGAAAATCCGTTGTTATAACTTAACGGTGAGGGTGACGTCAGTGCTTGAGGGGGTGCACTTAAAGCTGGTGAGGGTAACGATGGTTCGTAATAAGAATTTCTTTGGCAACTATTCTGATACGATATTCCTCCGGTGTTGGAGTAACTGCCATTGAAGTTGGCACTTGGCGGTAACGTAGGAGTTGGTCTTGCAGGGCCTAGGTTGTAGGCCTGTCGTCCTAGAATATTGTCTATATAAAACGGCGTGTGTCCTACCGATTGATGGTGTGTAGCTTGTGCGATACTCGCTGGTTGCACGGGGGTAGGGGCGACGATCGAAGAGCAAGCGGGATTCATCATGAGGGCCCCGCCACATGCTGCCGTCACGCTAGGTGACGGGTAAGGAATCGCCGACATTGCAAGCCTAAAAAATATAAAACCTGAATGGTGAATTTAAACTTATAAACACAATTAGTCTCGTTGTTGAGTTGACCAAAACTGTTTGACCAGTCTCTTCGAAGTCAACTTTATGTTTGAGAATAGGCATATCTTAGCAAGAGACTAATCAAATACTATGAGAGGCGTGGCTAAAACTGAAATGTAATTAATATGCATGTCAGCAGGGAACAAATCGCCATCCGGCAACTGGTTAATCTTTTAGAAGTTTGGTGACCACGTGATTGCGTGCTAGTCCAAATATGGTTATAATCTCCGCCCACTTGTTGCTAGCACCGACCTTGGTTTTCAAGACTCAGAAAATGTTAGCAATCTCTGATAATTGAGGGGAACGAGCTAACAATGATAAATAAACAAACATACAAAATGCCAATAGAAAGGCAAATAGCAATTTGGATTGAGTATTTTATCTTGGAAAGTGTTTCTGTAGAAACGCAATATCGAATACTTGTGACGCGAATTATAAAACAGTTTGACGCGGTTTAAACTAAACTGTTCTCAGTGTTGTTGCAGACATTTGATGAGCTGATACATAGGCATATTAAAATTTAAATAAATAAATAAATAAATATTTGGCTTGCTTACTTTGTATATTTAAACAAGCCATTATCTTTCAACAGAGTTTACCATTTCTATAGGCTACTTGCGTCTGAAACCCTTAAATTGACTGATACCGGTGTAAGTGGTCACTTTAATTATTTTTTGTAGCGTAAAACAGTCTGTAAAGCTGGTTCTCCACTAGGCGAATTTATTCGCGCGAATCAAAGCGTCGGTTTGCTTCCCGAGCTCTGATTGGTTGCGCATTATTACGCTTCGCAAGGAATGTGAATGCGCATGCGCAATAACCGACGCTTTCGATTCGCGCGGATAAATTCGCCTAGTGGAAAACCGGCTTAAAGACCTGTCCAGACGATAAAATTGTATTTGACAAAAAAAAAAAAGAGACATGCCTAAATACGGTTGTGATGACATCACATCATGACCATATATAGGCACATCATGACTATATATAGGCACATCATGACCATATATAGGCACATCATGACTACATATCGACTGACAACAGATTAAATCTGCAAACATTGAATTGTTTATATTTCTTATTTGAAGTTGATAAATTATGTGATCGTTTTCATTGAACAATTCAATGTATTAATTGAATAAATATTGCTTTTCTAATTTTTTCAACCACATCTTTAACAAGCACTTTGAATTTACCTTTACGGAGCGTCAATGGACCTTTCCGCTAAGCTCCGCCCCTTGGATATTGTTGCTAAGGTCCCACAAGAAGGCAGTGTTAAAACATACGCGAACACGTGCGTTTGTGGGACAACACGTGTGTTTGTAAGACGCGCGTGCATTTCTAGCGCTGTTCTGATTAGTCAGTTGTTAAGTTTGATTGACACTCCGGAAATGTCTATTAAACTTAACAAGAGACCAAGCAGAACGTGTTATTCAAAATAGGCAGCAATGCGCGCATTTCCCATAAACGCGCAAATTTTACGTACGGTACGTACACTTCGCTGTCGTTTTATAAGCGGAAAGGTACATTGTCATCAAGAGATGAGGATTATGCACATTGATAAATCATGAGAGAACACATTTTGTAATTAGTACATCTGCCGAATTATTTTATTGAACTCATTACATATTAATATTGTTACCATAATTATTAGTCATATTTCCCTAAGTTATTTTGGGTTTACTTTGTAAGATAATTTAGCCTTGTAAACCACTGGTTTATAACTTCAAGTATGAAAATCGTTAATTTTATGAGCAAGTATGTATATTTCAGCAATTAATTGATTAGGCCTATTAGAAGAAATATATACCACTTTTGCAGATAGGCTACATGATATTAATAATAGTAATATGCCTAATAATAACAGTATAGTAATAATAATAATAATAATAATAATAATAATGCCTAAATAATTATAATAAATCTAACGATATAAATACAATAATATAATAACAATAACATTAATAATATACTAATAACAATTAAAAAAAATAAATGAAAAGTATATCAATAATGATAATAATAATAATAATAATAGGGCTTAATAATATTAACAGTAACAACAATATTAACAGTAACAATAATAAACAATAAACAATAGGATGATAATGATAATGACAGGTCCGTCGTTATGCTTTTTACATAGGCCTAGACATATGCCTATTTTATTCAATGTATATTAATAATAATAATAATAATAATAATAATAATAATAATAATAATAATAATAATAATAATAGTTCGGAATCGGGTTGTTTTTGTTCTGAGAAAATCATGAGATATTTGGCCGGTTAGGAAAGGCATTGGGCTTTGAAGTGTGACTTTACAATCAAGCTTCAGTTCATTCGGTATAAAAATATATTTTTATTATTCATTATTTTATAATTTTATTTTAATGTATAAGTTATTATGTCAATCTTTCTGGATCTTTATTTATTTTTTCTTTTAAATTTTTTCCATGTTAACCTATTTATATGCATCTTTGAGTGAGATGATCAATTAAACATAGGCCTAGGCCTATTAACAATTCAATTCAATCATTCAAGTCAAACATTAACAATTTAATTCAAACATTAACATCAAAAATTAAGCTCGTTTCATAGGCCTACATGAGTTAAATATGCTATAAACTATATAGGCCGAGTTGGCCTAATAAATGCAAACGAAAAAGAAAACAGTAAATCATCTAATCACACAGTATCAAAGATTAGAAATGTAAACACGGAAATTTTGATTACTTTGAAGTATCAGTTAATTAACTTATTAATAATAAATTGGTTTGTATTACCGGTATCAGTAATACAATATTAAAAAAAAAGAAATAAAGGTGATTTAAAATGATATCTACAATGACGATAACATTGTTGTTGGTGCGTAGACCTTTGTTAATATTCTAATAGTACCAGTAAAGTTCCAACTTTGAACCATGTTTAGAATTATATATAAGTATTAAAAAAACTAAACATGACACAGGGCCGCGAAATCTATGCCTAACATTATGTTGCGCCGCTGTTACTATCACTCATTCGGTTGTTATGTGAAATGGAATCTTATTTAACTACGGAAAATGTTAATTATACCTCAATTTAAACTCGTGTCATCAAAGATTAGGGGGTTGGTTTGAACGCTTATCTATACGACCTGCCAGCAAACACAGGACATGCGAAGGAACTCGATGTTATAATACACTGCAATAGAAAATCACTAAGTAAACTATTGCATAAATCTTCCTGTTTAAAAGATAAAATCTATTGTGTTATTTCTGTCAATGATGATTTGACGGACGGAGGAAGGAGGGAAATGATACCTTTAGTTATATGGTTCGTGATACGATAAAACCAATGAGATTTTAAAAAGGAAGCATTGGGTATTCGAATGTATAGCGGAAATTTGCGATTTCTGATAGGAACACCGCGCGAAAATAGAAGCACCAGTGGCCTGCCCTTGAAAAAAGTTTTCCCATTTGTCGATGATGGCGGATCATCTCATTCAACTGTAGTGGATTTATTTCTTACCAACTAATCAACACAGAATTACTTCCTACGACTAAATTGAATAGTTATAATCTTTAGAACTTATTTTCCTCCTTGTAATGTTTTTATTCCGTCACCAAGGGCCTTTAATGGGGGTTTTCCGAAGCTGGGCTTGAAAGTTCTTATGCGCAAACAGGGTAGCGTAAGCTAACAGGAAAGAAACGTAGTTTGGCCTTGAAGAACGACTTAGCAACGCGCTATATTGTCGCCTAGGCTCTGATTCAAACAGGATATATTGGCGGCAATTGGCGGCTATTCAGCAATTATTACTAAGCTTCCAATCATTGAAACCCTGGAGACAGTCAGCACAAGCCATGACAACCAGTCCTCCAAGTCAAAACGGACTCCATGACTACGTAGAAATTAGCGCCACTCCCTGGCTAATTCTAGGCTCTCACGCACAGCCCGTTGAGGGAGGTAAAACACTGGACTTCTGGGTCTCATATGACGTTTCCTTCAGCTAAAAAGTCAGGAGTTCCATTGGCGACAGTAGGGCTGGAATAAAGCCTTGAGAAGCATGAACTAGAGCCTCTTCGATCAGTACATAAAGAGGGAAAAGTGCAAAGAACGAGTCAAGGAGATATATAGAAATGCAACTCATTCTAATTCATGATCAGCGAGTATGATTAATAGCTATTTCTCAATAGGCTAATGTTATGTCGCCAAAGCGTCAAAACCGAGAAATTATCTGTACAACTTCTTCTGGGATGTAATTGGTGTATACACGCTACGTCCGATATGTACGTGGAAAATTCGCCAGTAATGGGGCATCTGCTTATTATCGCGTGAGTGTATAGCATCATACTACTATTCGTTTCAAACTTTAATTCCCAGAAGACCGTTCGAGACATGATTATAGTAACTAGACTGTACGAGATGAAATTCATCGAATAGTGTCGTTCATCTGACAGTACATCCAAGAATGTCATAAAAACAATTTCTGTCAAGATTAGTTTGCAAACAATAATAAGGTCCTTAAAACTTGTGTCAAACCCGCCTAATCAATTGACCCGAGGCGCTTTTTTAGTTTCTCTTCCTGCATTTTTTTTCTTTTTTTGCGGAAATTTTGTATTATAAAGCCATATTAATAAATATTCAAATCATCATTTAAAAGAGTTTCACAATCACAACATCAGAAACCTCAATATTAATAGGCTAATACGCCTATAGAGGGGTAACGTAATTGATAAATATAAATTGCTATACAGTTGCTATACATGTCATTCTCTCGGGCCGGCAGAGGGTAGTATAATTTGTATCCTTAAGACATGCTACGTCTGGGGAGGGTCCACGATTGGATCTTCTGGGGCCAAGATTTATAACCCTCTACGAAACAACACTAAAACATTTTTAAAAAATCTTTGCTTTTTTTTTATATTTTAAAGCTTGAATTTTAGATTCTGTTTGTTTTATTCTGTTTTCTTGGAATTTTAATTTTATTTTATACATCTACTAACGGTGTTTATAGAGGACTCTGAGTGGGACATTCTGGATAAATAATAATAAAGAAAGAAAGAAAGAAAGATATATTATT